TCTAGGAATAGCAGGACTAATGAGTTTTATGGCAATGCCAGATTTCTGCAGAGGTCATCCCAAGTATCTAAACAGGTTTTGCTTATTTCAGTTCTTATCTTACCTAATGATATGTACACTGTCATACAACTCTGTTTTGATTCACTGGAAAATTTTAAGTGTGAATAAATGTATTTGTATAGCAGCAGATGTCTTTATTATTACTTGAAAGAGTCACTAATTTCCAAGCTATACCATTTTGCTCACTTTATCTCATGATCAGGAAAACCTAGTAAAAATATACAGCACATCTCTGATTTGTAGCCCTAACCTCTACAATGGTTTTTTAAGCAGTGAACAGGTAAATTAGGTTATAGTAGGGAGATATAGGTTATGGTTGGACTTGATGATCTTCAAGGTCCCTAACAACCAGGATGATTCTGTGATTCTATGAATGCAGACATTCAGTTGTGCCTATAGGAAACGGGAGCTCTGCTACCTTCAGATTCTCTGTAGCTAAGGGGGTTGGAAATCAGCATGTAAACAAGTGCCTTGCAAGAAGTCAGTCTAGTGCATTAATTTGGATATTCACATTTTTATATACTTTTTGCTTAACTTTCTTTTTTTTTTCTTTTCTTTTCTTTTTTTTTTTTTTTTTTTTAATGTGCAGTTATCTGCACATTTTATCAGGTGCTGCATTTTATCAGGTACTTGACAGGTTGGAGGAAAGTTTGTAGAAGTTTTGCACAGCTAAGCTATAGAGTCTGAAGAGACTGAGAAGGTACCCACAACTGAAGGTACCCATAAGCTGACTTATGTTGATCAACATATCTACCTGAAAGGGCTGCAGAAGGTGGAGCTAAGTACAGCTTTTAAGCTTTGTAACAGCTCCAGGGCTGCTTCTGCTCACTTCTTTTCATGAGGTGAAAAGTAAGGATGTTCATGCTTCAGCTGGACACCTGTTGTAGAATTCCCTTTAAAAATATTTTAAGAAAGCTGACAATATCCTAGACATTTTGTAATTGGCTCTGATTTTCCCCTCCAACTTGTATGCTGACCTTGTACTCCCTCAATCACTCATTTATCCTCAGTGTAGCTGTAAACCCTTTCACTAATACCTTCTTTAGTAATTTGATTTGGAAAAGGAGTGCTTGGCTGGCATCTGGACTGGGTTATTTTGGTTGGGTATCTGTGCCCTTGCAATCTTGTATAAACTCTGTTTGCCCCCACTAGTGCCAATACAGGCTGCTGAAAAGGGAGGAGAAAATGTTTGTTTATTTGGGGGCAGTGGGACAGGTAGTAGAGGGGATTTTTATTTTCCTATTCATCGCATAAAATACTCAGCTTTTAAGGTACAGGTGTATGTTTGTTGGCTTGCATTTTTTAAGCATGTATTTTACCAGCAAGCAGAAGAGGAGACACGGCAGTAGTCTTAACAAACAAGGATCCATTAACTCTATGTTTTGGATTTTTATTTTTTTTTGCTCTGGGGTTTTTCTTGTACCAGATTTCAACTTGCTTACTAACTGGGGAGAAGTATTTTTTTTGGTAGCTGGAAAATACAGCTACAACTGAGTATGAGTCTTCTTTGATGGAAGCCAATAGTGTCTATGGACTATTTTGACTCTTGACTACCTGTCACCTAACATTACTGTATTGGTATCCAGTATTACTAACCCCTGCCACAGCTGCAACCACTTTTAATGAAGGAGGTTTTGAGACAGAAATATTGACAACTCATCCAAGACTAGCCTAAACCACGAACTGATGGCATTGACAACAACCTCACTGAGTGCTGCAGAATTGTTAGAAACATACATTTTTAATGCCTCCTTAAGAGTAAAAGGTAGGCTCTAAAAATTGTTCTCGACAAAATTGGGATTATGTGTTGATATCTCAGGATCAGCTTCTAGTGAATATAGAAAGGTAAGGTCATTGGTCAAGCAGGTATTTTTCCCCATATACCTACATTTGAAAGTCAGCTGGAAATTTCTCAGCCCTGGGTTTTCATTCCTTTCTTTAAGCTGAGAAAACCATTTGAAACTCAGCCTTTCCCATTGTATTTCTGTATCCGAATGTCAAAAATCTGGACATGTATTTTCCCAGTTGGTTTCCTATTGCAATAGATAATGCTGCGCTACCTTACTCAATTGAATACTGATAGTTTTGAGTGCACTTATATTTGACAATGTTGTGAACATCTGGTGATGTTACTGTGCTGGGGGAAGACCCAAATTCAGTGTCTCTGTATTAGTTAAATCTTTACAATAAAATTTAAAGGATGCTTTCATTAGATTCCAGGGGAAAATCACATGAATAAAGAGAGATACAAATGTAACAGAAGCTTCTCAGAAGCTGAAACTATAAATACACTGGTCACTAACGGGATTCTGCCAGGAGGTAAACTCATTCTGTGTTCAAATATCTACATAAGGAAACAAAGTGCCATACAAGTTGCCTGCCTTGCAGACACCATTGGCTGTATAAAACAAATCCCTCTCACTCAGGTTTCTCCAGAACTGTTTACATTCATTTTACCCACCATCAACCCCTAGCAAGGGCCAAGATTGTGAGCTCAGAGCTATCCAAGGTGAGCAGTTTTCATTTCAAGCACTGAATGAAACAGAAATGCTTCTTAAAATCCTACATTACCTCACATCCTATCAAGGCTTCAAAAGAAAAGTTGTAAGTGCATAAAAATAAATCCACTCCTTCCCTCAGAAAAACAGTACCAGTTGTTAAAGAAACCAGTGACCTTTCCTCAGAAGCATAAGCACACTGGTGTACCAGCACGACTGCAGAAGATGGACTATTATAGGCCCCGCTATGAACACTGGCTCTTTACCTCAGCCTTCTTTGGTAGGTTCTCCGCCTCAGTCGTTGGTGTGTTAGCAGAGTCTTCTCACCCTCCTGGAGCAGATGGTATTTGCATGAAGAACTCTTCATTGATGAATCAGTAATCTCCCTTGCAGGAAGTTCTCAGTCAAACATAAAACCAATAGATATTATTCTGCCTGCAGCAGAAACATAGAGTTCAAACAGATTTGTTGAAATTTATTTAAGCATTTTGGTAAGATACTTTAGAACATACTAATGCACATGTGTCAGCACAAAACCCAGCCAATTAGAGTAAAACATTCTGGATGTTTTACTCCCGTTAATCTAAACATCAACAAGCAATCTCTTCTAGGCTACTGTTAAAATATTAGTGATCTTAGGTTTCTATTTTCAGTGCTGAAGGAAAAAATACTGCCTAAAAATTTAGATTACAGGACAACTCCAACTAAGTTCAAAAGTGAAAATGCTGTATTTAAAAGCATTTTAAGAAATTGTTTTCAATAAAATATGTTACTGGGGAATGCATATTTATTTATTTATTTTGAATTTTAGAAGAAATTAATATTCTAAATGTTACAGCAGAAAGCTGTGGATTTATATTTAAGATTAAAAAATCTTTAACTTAGTAAAACTTAGAATTGGGTTAGGCAGAAAGGATGTGATTAATTTTATCGTATGTTCCCCATAAGTGAAAATATCTCTTAGAGTCTTTGCAATCCTAGACAATTTTTCCTCTCCCAAAACTTCTCTAGCAGCCACATTTTCAAATGCTATCCTTTAGCTGTGATAATTTTCTTTATTTAGCCATCTAAGATCCTGATATATATGCCCATGGTTATGTATTGATGGCTATTGTCTTGAAGGCAGAAAAGCAGCACATGTATCAGCCTCCCCAGCCCAGCAGCACCTATGGAAAACAGGAGTGGTTTTCCTGGAGGCTGTTTCTCAGGACCCACAGCTGAGCACAGCCACAGGCAAGGGAGCCCCGGCACTGTGGGGCAAATGAAGTCAAGTGGCTAGGAACAGAGTTACTGACATACAGTGCCAGTAGTAAAAACCTGCTAGGTTTGTTACCTAGTGTATTTTACTAAAGAGTCTGACCTCAGCAGTAAGGAGAGTGGTGAGCTCCTCAGGACCACAAAGAGGAGGATAAAAAGGGGAGTTTTGTACACCAGGTAGGCAGCTGGAGAGAAGTACACCCTCACAACACAATTACATTAGTTTAGGATCAGAATCAAGCTTTTGATTCTAACAGAAAGGTTGGGGGATTATTAAAAATGTTTAATTGCTGGGACTACCTTCTCTGTTAAAGTGTTAGACCTCTTCTTTCTCATTCATTATGGAGCAAAAGGCTAAGCATTTTAAATACTCCTTTGTCACAAAAACCTACAAGATAAACTGCTGCCCTACTCCTTTCCTATTACAACAAAAGAAAATAAAATCTCATCCAATTATACTAGTATGGTAATCTTGTTGAAATAGTTATGAGCTATGATTTGAGAGCATCTAGCTTGATATTTTTTGTCACCTCTTCCTCACCAGCCTCTACTCTGTTTTATTAATCAGATCAGAATAAAAAATCATCCAGATTTAACCCACAGTTCCCCCTACGCCTGTAAATGTTCAGTTATATTCACAGAATAAATTAAACAATAAAATATATACTATCAGGAAGGTAAAAGCCCATGGTTCCCACCTGCATACTCTGTACCAATTTTTTTCCATGGTTGAACCAATACTCCTTAGTAAGAGACTGGGATTTCTGGTGCTGCGTTATCCCAGCCTGCTGCAAGAGGCTCTTACCACAAAGGCACTTTCATGATTACTGTCATTAGTGGAACTGCAAACTGTCAGAAACTGAAAAAATTCTCTTTTTTTGTTTGTTTTTGAGGAAGAAAGGAAAAAAAAACCAACCCACTCAACAAAAAAAACCCCAACCAAACAAAAAACCCCAAACAAACAAAAAGTTAAAAAAAAAAGAAAAAAAAAAGAAAGAAAAGAAAAAAAGAAGAAAACAACCCCAAAACTTATTCCAGACAAATCTTTAGTTATTCTCACAACGTATAACAGGGCCCAGTCTGAACTCATGTCTCAATAGACTACAATCCACGTCATCTTGCACTTGGCAAAAGTGCCTATTCGTCAGAGCTACAAAGAACAATATATACTTAAGTCCATACTCACCTCAATCAGTCTGTGTCTGCACATTCTGTGGGGGATTTAAGGGATGCACAGGTCATTGTATCAGAAAACTGAAGAGACAAATTACAGTGCATTATGCTGGGCTTCACCTGGACTGGACACACATGAAAGAGAATTCAGCTGCCACAGCTGCCTTTGTATCTCTGTTTTTCAAATTCTGAAAACAAGCTAAAAAGGAGAAAAGGGACTCAACTTTTTTAAACCCATAAAAACTACTGGAAAAAGATATAATCAGTTTTTTAATCAAGGTAAATACTATTATAATTGAATTACGGACACTTTAAAACTATATGTTCTAAACTCAATGTTTCCGTTTGTTGAAAAGTTGTTTCCATCTACATTAATTGCTTTACAGTGATTTAATTAAATGCTGTGTTAAATTGATAGAAAAATAGGTAATATCCATATAAAAAGAAGAGAACAAAATACAAAACCTGGCGAGGTTTTAAGTAGAAAGCTTACAGTTAGGTATTTTGTATTGAATTTGTATAAATGACTCAAGTAGATGTAAAATACAAATGAAAAAAAAATCCTCTAACAAAAAAAAATATAGAGTAGCTTTATCAGCTATTCAGTTTTGCCTTTCAACAAATTTGTCTACCTTGGTTTTGTGTGGAACCAGTTTTGAATTTACAAGTAATATCTGTATTAGACATAGATATAACACTGTGCTAAAAAACATCTTGTTTTTCTAAGGATTTAGGCAAGCAGGATCCTTTCAGACCAGATCATTGCCTCATGAGGCATGTGATGTGTCTATCTCAGTCAGCACTTGCTGGCCTCTATAGAAGTTTTACTTGACTTCAAGATACAGTCCATGGTCTAGAGGATGATTCTGAGCATCACTGAAAGCCATTAGCCCCAACTACTTCCATGAGAATTACAGACAAAAAGCTCCTCATATGCTCAGGGAGCCAACTAAAGATAAAGTTGTACATAGAAAAACTCAGCTTATTAGAAGTATGAAAGTGCCTACAGATTTCCAAAAGCAAGTGAGTGCCTTCCTTCTATTTAAGACCTCACCATCCTTAACATGCTTATTTTGACAAACTTCTTATTTTTACCTACTACTCTGTTGGCTTCATCCACAAATTTTAGCTTCTCTCTTTATTGTGAAACAGTTCTGTGCAAGAATTAATTTTGACCTGTGTTTGTATGATATCTACCACCAAGACAGAGGAAAGCCTATGACGCTCTTTTTGCTTCGTTGTCTCCAGGTGGTCAAGGCTGAAAAGTTCTCTCAGTTGAAGAATTCTAGAGAATGAAGTAACCTCTTCCCTCTTCTAAAATATTATTTTCCCAACTCTTAAATTACTCACACTGGTGTGACTAATGTAGCTCAGTCAGAATTCTGAGCAAAGATGTTAACTTGATTGGAACTAGAGGATATTCAAGGTCCCTTCCAGCACAAACTATTCTATGATTTCCCAATGACAGTGCCTTGCTTTGGGCAGTGTTAGAGCAAAGGGTGGTAAGAGCCCACAGACAGCAGGCAGTGGTGCAGAAGGATGCTCTAGGTCCAGACAGACAATTCCTCTCTTCCTGGAGAACTGCTATGATCCCTCCTGCATTGGGCAACTGCTGTGTAACTCTGTTGATAGCTACTGACAAAAGATGACTCAAATCAGGCCAAGTCTTATTGGTCAATTTAAATGGGCACTGAAACACCCTTCTGTGGTCCGAGAGGACAGGGACCAGTCTGTCTCCCTACAGACCCACAGGTCTGGTGTCGAGGTGGTGAAGCAATGGGCAGTCAGCACCCTCTGCATCTGGCATGGACAGGGCCAGAAGAAAACCTTTCTCCATAGCCTTACTCTGTGTCATGGAGAGCATTTTGGCCACTGACTGCAGTGTCCTAAACCACTTGTGTTTGCAATTTCAGGTGCCAACTAGTCACACAAGGAAGGCGGAGGGAAGCCTTGCTAATATAATCAGAACCTGCCAGGTTTTCTTTTCCATATTCATTTATGTACAACGATTAGCTCGTTCTTTTCAAATGCCAGGGACGTATTGCTCACTAGAGGAACTTCAGTACCCAGCAGTCTTTAATGTAAAAGGCAAACCTTTCCACTAATGAGCAGTTTGTCTAGTGTTCTTAACCTTATCAGCAGCTCCTGAAGTGATAAAGGCTTTACTATTATGCACTGAAAGGTGTTGATAATTCTCAATCTTCATGCAGAAAAAGACTCTTTTTTGTCACTTCTTAGAGTCTACTGTTAAACTTACCAGAATGCTTACAAATTACCTTGCCTGTTCTGCAAAGCAGACAGCTGGATGCATTGGTGGGCAGTCGGCAGGTGGAGACTCCTCTTGTCTGGACAAAAATGATACCTGCTGCTTAACAGGAAAAGAACAGTTTGCAGTTTAATGATTTAGCCCAGTCCTGGGAAACGACCAGATCTCTAAGTAGCTGGCACAAAAGCGAAAAGAAAAAGAGAAAAAAAAAAAAAAAAAAAAAAAAAAAAAAAAAAAAAAAAAAAA